GCAGCAGAGTTTCTTAACCTATGAAATTAAAAAAAAAATGATTACACAGCAATGACCAATATTTGTAGCTGATGTTTTTACATAAATATTTGAAAATAAATATTGACCAGTATAACAGCAGACCCAGTGGTGAAGAAGATTGACAAGAATGGCTCGGACAAGGGTAGCTAGTCTTAGCCTACTCGGTGAAAACTGACTAAAAAACTTTTTTTATTCAGTTTTATTTTAACTGAAAACAAGAATCTTGGCATAAATAACATTTTTATTATCCACGTAAAACAATTGCACATTTGTGCTAGCTCAACCTACTGGATGCATTCAAAACAAATTTGTAAGTGCTGTTCCAATTGCTACTTTCAATTTCACACAGAAAAAAAGGCAGATATTTGACGTCCTGATGCTTGACATGAAATGACATGATTGACGGAAAAAAAAAAACAGGAGACGATGTCAATAACAAACGCGGTCAGCGGCATTACTCTATAGATAGTCTCCATGTCACTCACACATGCCATGTGCTGTCAGCCACAGGGCCATCTCACCTCTGCCACGAACACCGCACAGACAGTGACGGTTCATCACCAATAAAATATTCTCCACCACTTGTGGGTAAGACAAAAAATAATGATGAGCCTCAGTATGAAGTATGAAGAAATAAAGGAGTGTGGCGTGTGACAGGGATGAGGGGATCGAAAATGACAGCTTCTGAAGAAGACAACTGAAGATCATCAATGACTTCAGTGATCACTGGTCAATACTGAAATCGAGATCACTTAACTCTGGAGACAGATTGCATTGGTTGCACACGATGAACAGCGAATGTGATATTTTCTCATATTTCTGTTTTATTCACACTGACTTTTTAAACATCCATGTAGGGCAAACGCAACCGAAAGTCTTCCGAAAACAGTGGGGAATCTAGGCGAATCTAAGTTTTTGGTGTTGATTGCAGAAATTATTATCAAAATTAATCACAATAAATGAATCGCAATAAATTGATCGCAATAAATTCATTGCAATAAATTCATTGCAATAAATTAATTGCAATAAAATTGCTGGACTCACTACTAATGGCCCTATGACATTTGTCTCATCACTTTGAGGCAGATCAATTAGAGACTCAGTCTTCCAAAAGTGTGGGAATCCAGGCAAAGTTTCTGGTGTTGATTGCAGTTGTAATCAAAATTATCCTCGAAATGGACTGCAATTAATTAATTGCACTTCCCTTCAGTCAGTAATTAATGCTATTGACACCAAGCTGCTGCTCAGTTCTGGACTCAGTTCTGACCAGCACTAAGTGCCAAACGCACATTCACGTCTGTCGCATCACTCTGAGGCAGATAAATGAAAGCCCGACAGTCAATCCCCAGCACTCCGTGTTATTACCATGCCTGGTTCATGACGCACTTTTGTGCTTTGAACATGGCAGCCTAGTTACTATAGCTGGATAATCACACATGATTCACTTTTTTTTTTGTCCCTCACGGGAGGCCCGTGCTGTCCAAACATGTCTTTATTTTTAGCAATGTCTTTTTTTTTCTGGTTTCTGGTTGCAGAACTCCCAGTAATACGTCTTTGCACACTGGAAAATACTTCCTGTATTTCTCAAGAGAGGTTGACACGGTTCCTGCCGGGAGTGCTTGTGATTATGTGTTTTACCTTTTAGGTTGTTAAAAATAAATGCAAGAAGTTAGTGTGTTCAAATGCACCTTACTACAGCGGCTATGGTATTTGGAGATCATTGAAATTCAAGTCAGACAGGCCCCGGCCAATGGAGACTCATATCTGAAGAGGGATAAAAACCTGCGTAAAATACATAAAACTGAAATACAATAAAAAATCTTAATAACTGAATATTGTCTTGTCCCTGTAGTACATACTGATACAAGAACAAATTATTTCATATTTTTTTTCTCCTAAACCCTAACAGAGACACTTTTCAGAGAGAAAATTTTTTTCATATTTTTTTCTAAACCCTAACAGAGACACTTTTCAGAGACGTTAAAACTAAAATTGGGGGAGGTGGACGTTTTAACCCAGGTCATGTGACTCTGAACAAACAACTCTGTTTTCCAGATATTGGACTGCTCGCTGTGTGATAACTTCCTTATTATTTTCTGAGGGAATTCGCATCTATTATGCTGGGGGTTTGGAATTTTTTTATCCGCAAATATGGAGACCGCCGTTGACGTCACGTATTTCGCTGACTCACTACTAGAAAATCTGCAGCCCAAAACATTTGGTATTTATCTGGTAAAAAAAAAAAATGTTTTTTAGAACTTCACATTACTTTTACCAGTTTGTAAACTACACTACCAGGAATAAAAAATAAAATCTGGACTAAAACAGTGGACATCCCATCTAACCACTAGTGTTTGTCCCTCTTGTCCATTTGCGACATTTTTGCGTAGTGTATGAGAGTGTATGAGAAACACACTGCTTTGAATCTATGAACTGGAATATGTCCTGGGATTCACGTGGACAATGTTCAGTAGACAGACTGCATCACGAATTAAATCCAAATTTGCCACACTGGACTGTATGCTGCAAGGAGGCCAGGAGACACTGTCGGGCTGAGGAGGACAAGCTAATTACACACTGCTACAGACATTACCACAGACACCTACTTGAGTAGGCTGGAGGCCAGACGGCAGCACAACCATGTAAAACAGAAGTATTCTGGCATTACTGCCTTCAGGCACTTGAAGAATGGAGTCAACAGTTTTTGTTTTTTTCTAAGACTCAGCTCTATGTCAGCTCTGTGTTGTTTACATGTATAACAAAGGATGTTTACATGTATGGAAATTTGAGCATGTGACTGTGCACTTAAAAGGTCAATATAGCTCGGTCCTACATTTTTATGATTACTATTCACTACTGGTATTAATTACTGGTATTACTCTTTTAATTACTATGAATTTATAGTATTTTATTAATTCATTTTTAAGAATTCTACATATATTAATGACTTGTTTTTGATTAATATTTCATATTTATTTATATTACTTACTATACTACTGATTTATTTTGACGCATTATTTAAGCATTATACTGTCAGTTTTTATGAAAAATATCATATTTGGTGTTTACTACGTGCAATAAATGCGATATGTTTCCAATCGCAGTAAATAGCCGTGATTTCAATATCCACCAATGAAATCACTGTATGATTATACAGATATCAAAGTATGATTTTTGAGCCAAATTGACTAGCCCTTCTGCCTGACATGGTGCGCAGTGATACCGGAGCTCCACAGGGGACCGTACTCCCTCCACTCCCATTTGCCTTACTCTCAGTAGATCTGAGTTTTTGTGCAAGTTTCCGGATCACTGAGCATCCTGAGCAAGGATGTTGACATCTGAGTTTTTGTTCTGTGCACGTTTCCGGATCACTTCCACTGAGCATCCTGAGCAAGGATGTTGAGGTGACTAAAGGTACTGTATCTAGGTGTTCGCATCAACGCTGAACCTCGCTGGAGGGTCAGCAGTCAGGCTGTCTACAAAATGTGTATAGCGTGACTCTACTTCCTGAGGAAGCTGAAGGAACCTTTACCGTGTGCGGTAAAATCCTGGAGGTCTTCCAACAGTCAGTCGGCCAGCACCATTTTCTATTGTTCTGTCTGCTTGGGGAGAAAACTGCAGAAGAGCAAGACACCCAACAGACTCCTGTCAAACATGGACTGCTATCATTCAGTCCATAACACCCTGAACAGGAAATGGAGCACATTTTTGTTGCCAGCATTCCTCTTTGACCCTAAAATGACATTTCATCATCGTCCAGTAATACTCCGTGTTTTTTCAATATCCAAAAGTGTCTATCGTTGTCTCATCTTTAACTGTGCCATGTTGCTGTGACAAGGAACAATGAACAATGAACTCCCCGTTTTGGGATCAATAAATACATGCATCCGTCCATCAATCTATCCATATAATGTGTCCAATAAGAGATGTCCAAAATGGATTTGGGTGTTGAGAAAGACAAAGCGACCTACTATTGTTGGGCAGAAGGTTTACTGACTGAGAGTAACAAACTTCATTTTTTTAAAAGTCAAGTGACTATTAGAACAGCAGGGCACAGGGACTCTTCATATTCCGCATGTGCACGACGAAAAACACGAGCAGCAGCTTCGATAGAATTTGAATTTTAAAGGGTCTCTTGTACATGTGGGCAGCGTCTGTTTGAAAGGCAGCAATTTGCATCCATTGAAACATTAAATTGTGAGTGGGAACAAGCTAAAATTAGACGCAGCAGTCCCGGAGCTGTTGTTGTGTGAGGGGATAATGCCAGGCTGTGGGAAACAAGCTCCCATTACTTGCATAAGCTGGAGCTAGTAGACAGACTATTACAAAGCTAAACGCAACCGTAGGGCCTTTATTTCGGTTAGTTGATGTTTATATACTCTATTCTCTATACGTTTAAAGTCTGATAATCTATTTAGTGTCCAGTGTTTATCGGCGAAATCTTTGAATAAAACATGACTCTCCAAATGCCCTCCATGATCGTAGATTACAGAAAAAGCAGACGTCGCTGTCTGTTCTGCAGTCTACATTCGCAGGGTGGTGTCAACCACATGCGGTGATGCTGCGAAACTGACACTCTCGCATTACTCCCTCCTTACTGTTTTCTTCTTATTGTTTTTGTGAACTCTGAACTTTTTAAATGTAATTCCCCAATTACATCAATTTGTGGTAATGCCATTTGTGGCTATAGAAATGGCAAAGGCAGGACTGATGTTTAACTTTGTTGTTGTGGTCAAACTTTCCTTTTCATGCTTAATTCACCAATGAGAAGAGTGCACACATATCTGTCTGGTACCGAGCTGTGTAAGTGCTGCTGTGAGCTTTGTCTTCTCCTGCAGACACCAAACATGTCTGGGAGTAAGGGTTAGGGTTAGGGTTAGGGTTAGGGTTGGGGTTGGGGTT